GAGTGTGTACTTGGCATCGAAGAGTAAATAAGCCTGCTCCCAAGCATTCAAGCGGGGGTGGCTCCTTGCGGATCCCCTGCCCTGCACCAGGAGACAAGTGTCCTCTATTAAAGCGAGCCACCTTTAGGGAAGTGTCCAGATCCACAGGGCTCAGATCCCCTAACCTCTGTTAAGAGACACCAAGAGTGAATGTCCATCCTATATGAAGGATGGGGCCATCTCCGTATCTTCCTTTGGCGACAAGATGGCCACCCACCATTTTGGATTGTAGTGACCTGTGTATTTGTCTTTCCCTCCACTTGCCAGTGAGAGGCTTGGTGAGGGCTGTGGGGAGGCAAGGCTTTGCACTTCCCTGCCCCCGTCCTCCTCCCGGGACCTAATATCAAGGGCTGGGGCGTATGGGCAAGCAGTGTTGGAGAGCTCGTATTTCATTTGACCTCATACAAATAACTCTTGGTCATCGGTAGTATTAGTCCTCGCATGTAAGAGGGTTAAAACCCCCAGAGCTCTTAGCTGGTGGGTGTCACAGTCGGAACTTGAACCCCGGTTGTCAGAGCCCATTCTCCAGTCGCTCCTCCTGGTCGCCACCTGTAGCCCTCACCTCTTGAAACGGGATGAGTCAGGCAGGACGCGTCCTAGACCAGTCGAGTTGGGTCCAGTGCACTGTGGCCCCGCGCTGTCGAGGCCGACCTCTGCCCCACGGACTCGCCAATGGCTGATGGGGCTCCGGGGAAGGTGTTTGCTAGGCTTTTTCTGTGAGGCAACTCTGGGGGAAGTCAGGCCGCCAACCTTGTGCTGAGCAGCCCTTTGCACGAGCTGGTGACCTTCAGGAGGAGCCCAGATGGTCCAGTGGTTACGGCTACCAACTGAAAACCCACTGGTTCGAATCCACCAGCCTCTCGGGGGGGAGAAACGACGTGGCACTCTGCTGCCACAAAGGTGCCCGACTAGGGAATCCCACGGGGGCAGTTCTACCGTGTCGTAGAGAGTCACTCGGGTTGGCATCGACTCGGTCGCACACAGTAACCACGGGGACCTTCGGACAAGGGGCATCTTCTTGACTCTTTACAAGGACCCTGGAGTTTAGGGTGTGCCACCCCAGTTTCCAAGTGGCCACTGTGTTTTTGCCATGTAAGCCTGAGACCTTTACGACTGTGGAACTCAGGATCTTGGCCACACACTGAACTAGTCTCCTCTATGTTTGCCTGGAGCAAGAGCTGCTCTCATGCAGGTGTGACAAGGGGAGAGGGACCTGCCCCACATGGTCTCACTCCCTGGTTCCCTCAGCGTGCTTCCTGCCTCGGAGCTCCAGCTAACTCTCCCCCCTCTCCATCTCCCCTTTCACCAGGCAGCCTCTGAAGAAAGTCTCGCCTCTGTCGCCTCCTGGCAGCAGTCTATCTCGGCTCGCTGAGGCAGGGAGGCCACGGGGCATGCTCTTGCTGGTTCTGATGCTCAGGGAGGCCTGAGCAAGGGCCCACCCCTCTGGAGGCTCCTGTAACACGCTGTTCCTTTTGCTCAGCAGGTGACCCACCTTGGACCGCTGGGAAGCTCTGGCCGGGGGTCACCTGAGGGAAGAAGGAAGATCCTGACACCTGCTGAGTGGTGGCCGCTGGGAGAAGCAGCGAGTGACCCAGCGACAAAATCTCTGACTCCTGCTTGGCACCGACCTCCCCCCGCCCTGTGAGGCTTGGCAAACAAGGACCAAGAGGCAGCTGGACCTGGGAAATGTGGAGTTCTGGAAAACTTGAACTTGTATATTGTAACAATTTGTGGAGTATCCCGAAGTGCTAGACCGCCAAAAAGGGTGTCAATAGGCTTCTTGATCACTGGCTTGTTCGCTGCGCCCTGGAAGGAAGGGGCTTCCTCTGCTCAGGCCATCAGAAGCCCACCTCGAGCGGCCCTGTAAGCCAGCGAAGACAGTGGGCGGCCAGCCCCGATGCACAGCTCCCCACGGAGGTGTCTGGCATTACTACCCTGTGTGCGCTGTCCCGCGATCTTCCACAGCTGGGAACCTGCTCCAGGCTAGTCCTGCCAGCTGGAGAACCCGCGTCCTACTTCCCATTTCCAGGAAGCCTCTGATCGCCAACTGAGGAATTCTTGGGGCAAGGAATGCCCAGTGAAATCTGAGCACTTCTTGGGATTCACTCACCAGAATGCTTCTCAGGTTTATGGACTCACAGGCTGGGAAGCCCCTCCTGGAAGAGCCAGCTCAGAGGACTATGCTTGCTCGTTGATGGGGGCTCGTGTCTCTGGGCAGGGAGATTTGCTGCCTCCTGTGGCTCTGACGTGGCTGGGCGGCACCAGGAGGCATTTCTTTCATGATAGGAAGAAGGGATTTGAGCATGATTCTCCCCGTGTAGAATTTGATTGCATAGATCTCCAGAGAGCAATGTGTTTTGTTGTTGTTACTATTATGAAAGTTGTCTATGATCAGATTCTGGGGCGACACAGTTTGAGCCCTCCTGCTCACCAGAAGGTAGGCAGTTCAAACCCAGACAGCAATGCCACAGAAGAAAGGGCTGATGTGCTTCCGTGAAGATCCAATCCAATCCCAGCTCACTGCCATCCCCATTCCGACCCATAGCGACCCGATTTAGGGTAGCTGGAGCTACAACTTTATGGGAGCAGGCAACCTCATCTTTCTCCAACAGAGCAGCTAGTGGGTTTGAACCACCAACCTTGTGATTAGCAACACAACACTGAATCCCCGGCACCATAAGGAAGTCTCCTCTGTACCAAATGGGGCTGCCATGAGCTGAGATCGACTCCAGGGCAGTGGGTTCGGGTTGGAATTTGGGATAAAATCATGGAGCTGTCAGAGCTCAGGAGAGTCCTGGTGGTGTCCTGGTTACATGTTGGGCTGCTAACCGCAAGGTCAGCAGTTTGAAGCCATCAGCTGCTCCTTAGGAGAAAGACCAGGCTTCCTATCTCCGTAAAGAGGTACAGTCTCAGAAACCCACAGGACGGTTCCACCCTGTCCTATAGGGTTGCCATGGGTCAGACTTGACTCGATAGCAACAGTGTGTGTGTGTGTGTGTGTGTGTGTGTGTGTGTGTGTGTGTGTGTGTGTGTGTTTTTTTCACAGCTTAAAAGTTGATGTGATGAGCCTCCCACTCTGTACCTGGGAAGTCTGGTCCCACAGGAGGAGCTGGCTGCGTGGGGGTCAATCTGCACAGGGTAGAATGGGTGCCCTCCTCCAACTGCCACCCACCTCCTGCTGCCTCCAGGCTTGGTGCTGTCATATTGCTTTACCACGCTCATGGCCCCCAAACCCAGTTTCCCCTCCGAGAGACCCCGTGATGATCTGGGATCTTTGGAAGCAGACAGCAGACGGCCTTTGGTTGTTCTAAGCTAGTCTAGACTGGCGAGCAGGCCTCTGGCCTTCCCTTGAGGGCCCCGAAAACAATCTGGCCCCAGTTTCTCCTCCTTGCTACCGCAAAGGGCATGTATGCAAACCCTCCTCTTCTGGGGACTCTGGGAAAGCAGCTGTTCCCAGAGGCTGCGATGTGTGACTTCAGTAGGCTGACAGAAGTGGCGAGAACAGTCCCTGCTGTTCTCAGCAGATTGGGCCTGGGCCCAGGCAGGTTGCCCAGAGTAAGGACACCACTGGCATTGACTCTGAGAGAATCATTTCCTCCCTCTCTGGGCCCCCAAGCACACTTGTGTGGGAGCGAGCAGGCAAGGGGCCCAGGGGCTCCCCTTTCTGTCCCCTCCTGCCACCCTAGCTCACTGAGGGCCCCACTCATATCGGATTTGCCCCGAACCCGTTTGAAGGCAGGAGCCGGTGTGAGATAGACATCGGCCCCTTACCTCTGTGCGAGAGAATAGCTGCCTGGTTCTGGGCACAAACAGAGTCACACTCTGGGGAAGATGAGGGGCCGGGTGGCATAACTAGTTGCTAACTAGTTGGGTTGCTAACTGCAAGGTCAGTAGTTC